TCACATGCTACTGTGTGAAGATCATAAAACATCACCTCGCTGTCATCTGAGGAACTGCAGGGCCCCTCTGGCTGCATCCCCATCACTGGGCGTTCCCCAGCTCGGGGAACATCCTGCCCACATTACTGTACAGGGGCCTCAGGTGCTCCCAGGCTAAGCTGGTGCCCATCAGAACTGCCTTCTGCCTGAACTGCCAGCAACAGCGCCACATCCGCAGTATTATCCTATAGACCTTGCAGGCGGGACTGCATTAAACTGTTACCACTGTTGTCAGGCACCTTAAACCTTAAATGCTTTTGGCACTGAGAAAGTAACTTCTCTCCTTAGTTCTGCTGTTATATTATGAACAATTTTGCCAGTTCTGTGGTATGTACTGGGATGATGAAGGGATGATGGATGGGTAATACGTGGTGGCCTGCTTTCTGCTTCTGTTGATAAGTGACTGATACAGCTGACAAATACCTGGATTAAGTAAACGGAGCCTATATAACTCAATCAAACTGAATAACTGTTTACATATCACCAATCGTTATCTGCAGGATTTTCAATTAGGAATGATGGATCTCATTCCTGTGTAGAAATAATAGGCTGGTGCTATCAGGTATGTGGGCAGTAGAATTGGCCATCTGACTGTGCTCATCCTCAGGACTGGAACTGGCGAGAAACAGAAGAAAAACAAATATTCTTTGATCAATGGCAGTAATTTTGGCTCCAGCATAGAACAGGAACACAATACAGGCTTCAGAATTTGGCTCCTAAATATAATCACAAATAATCTGTAGACTCTTTTAGAAGCTGTTGTAACTAGTTACTACTCAAGGACCAATTTCCATCTCATTCCCATGAGCAGTATTTGCAGAAAATATAAAGTATATTTCTATTAGAACAGGAAGAAATGTCTGTCAACATAATACGGCTTCATTTCACAATTCACTGTAGGACGAGAATGGGATTTCAGGGCTGTTGATGTTTTAATTTCATGTTTCTGTGTCCCCAGTAAAATGATGCATACAAATGATGCCAGTTAAACAGATTTAGCTCGTCGGCAGCTATATCATATTTGTATCACATGCTAAAGGTGGAGGAGGGCTTATGCCCAGCCCTTTATCATCAAGAGCTTGCTTTTAATTTAGTGAGTCGTCTCTGCAGCATCCTGATAACAAAACATGGCTTCAGATTCCCAAGATAACATTGAGTGCCAATTGCACATCAGGGAGAAAATAACTTGGCTTGCAAAAGCCTAGATTGATCCACAAAGTAAGAGGTTATAAACTGTAATGGAAGTGCTGACACAACTAAATGAGATAATACACTCCAGTACCGCTATCAGTGCGGATGGAACATGCAGCTCTCGAAGTGTCTCGATGTGCCCTGGCCGTTCATGCTGGAGTACAGCTCTCAACACGGAGGAATTAAGGTGACACAGGAGAGCTCGGTGGGCATGGGTGCTCTCCCTCTTGGGGGTTTGGCACCCTCTGCTGTCCGGTCTTTGAACAAAAGAGGGTTTTTTGTTTTGTTTTGTTTTTTGTTTTGTTTTTTAAAGACCATAAAACGTAAAACTGCATTGGAAATTGTTAAATCAGCTATTTTGAAATAAAACCACCGTGTTCTTTCTTGCTGCAGCAAAATAGGAACGTTTCTTCAAAATTCTTTTCCCTGCTTTGCAGTAGTAGTTGCTCTGATTCTGTTTCTCATGAATAAGGTGAGCAAGTATTGGCTCCTAGTCCCAGCACATGCCTGCCTGACCATTCCTGTTGGGTGCAAACAAAGCACAGAGGCTCTGGTCCAGGAGCAGTCTCAGGTACAGTCTCAGGTATCCTAGGACAAAGAGAGGTCTTTCTGCCTCAACAGGGTCTCCATGCAGTCATCCCAGAGCTGAGACAACCCTACCCTAGGGGAAGTGCAGTGGAGACAAGAGGTTTGATAGCTAACAGCTGGCATGACTGCTCTCACCACACAAGCATCTTGTGCTGCAGTTGATAGCGCTGAAAATTGAGTAGGGCACCTTATGCATGTTTTAGCTTTTTAGCTAAATATTTATTCACTATTCACTCATTTTGGAGGCATTTAACAAATGCTCTCCCTGACAGAGAGGCACAAAGCTTCACTTTTATAGCCAGAACACGAAGGGGCACCTATCTCTGCAGTAAGGGGAATTGAAAGCTGACATCTGGAAAACAGGATGCCCGGTGCTTAACTGCCTCTATTGAGTAGCCCCTATATTTGATTGACAGAGTGAAAAACATTGTACAGAATAGGCATAGCAGCCAGTAGGAAACAGCCTTTGTTTGTGATGTATTTAGCTTTTTGGTTATGCACTCTATGCTGCATTCAAAATAAACTTAGAATTGTAACAACTAAATCTGCAGCACATATGATGCCAGTCTTCCCTCAGTGGGAAAGCAGGAAACCAGTGCCATGGTTTGCCCAGCAGATGGTGGCTTCAGTTACAAAATGGTTTCAGGTATGTTTCTCCAGCTTTCACTTATTGATGGCTTCAATTATGGAATGGACACTGACAACAAAAGTAGAACAAAGCATCCTTCTTCTGAGGTACTTCTTCTGAGGAAAGGTCCTAAGAGACACTGCTGGGGTCAGCTTTATTTCTGAGCAACACTCCTCTGGCAGGAAGCCGGGAGCGCACAAATACACGTGATCCAAGGCCATGGAGACATAAGTCTATGCAGGCCACATCACATGGGAGCTTCATGCACGCTAGGAAGTGCCTCTCCCAAAGAGGCAAGGCGTAGCAGCTTCTTCCCCTGCACATCCTAGGGCTGGAAAGTTCTTCTCAGGGCGCTGAGTTCAGCCGGGGTTTGAGGGAGGCTGTTCTCTGCAGGAGCTGCCTGCCTCTGCCAATCCACTGTACTCCCAGGGAAAAATAGCTTGGGGAATGCAGCTAGAGGGTAAATGGTCACATGTTTCTCTTGTCTTTCACTTCACTCCAGCAGTTTTCACTCCAGATCCTTACCAGAGCATTAATAAATGAATTTATTAATCAAATGCTTTTCTTCTCCATACTCACTCTGCTTCCACTCGCATCTTCTCAGACATGTGAGGATATCTACAGGTGCATAATGTTCAGACTTGCTTGCATTATAAGAGGAAGAAAATATGCAGATTCTAACGAATTTCACTTTTGGAAATACCCATGCTTTTCTGCTGCTCTTCCCATTCAGACTCAATAGAAAATAAATAAAATAGAAGTAGTGCAGAAGGCAGACTTGGTAGGATTTGCATACAGACTTTGAAACACAGTGCATTGGGTAGTGGCATTTGAAAAGCAGCTTTGTATTTGGCTCTTTCTACAAAAGTTGCGTTCAAAACGGAGAATAAAAACATGGCCTTATGGAAAAATAATTCTCAGTTGAGCACATATCTGAAAAAAAGATCATAAACACTTTAAAAATAAATAAATAAGGACACAGGATGAGATAGAAACCTGAGTGATAGGAAAAGGTTGAATAAAGCTTTTGGGATCTCCAGTAAGTGGAAGTCACAGTGCCCAGTGCTGCCAGCACACAGGGCAGTCTGTTGCTGAGCTGAACATTCAGCCGCAGCTCGGTTTCCCCAAGCATCAGCCAAGACATTGTTTCTATTGATTTATTTTGCTATTTTCCCATTGCAGTGATTGGATGACAAAACAACCACCTGTGGGTGTCCTAATATATCTAATGCCAGTGGATTTTCAGGTTGAATAAAAACAATAAATCTTTCTAGGCACAAAGAGGAAACCACGAGGAAAGTTAATCTGGGAAAGTAAAGAGCATGATTTAGGAATATTGGGTTTGTTAGAATGAATCAGACTGGTTCACCATCCTCTCTGCAGAGACAGTTCCTAATGGATGGCACACAAGGTGACAAAATAAGCCTCCAAATAACTGTGCAGTGACACTTTGAGACAAGGGCCCAATCGCTGACTCTGCAGCACCAGTAAGCACTGGCCTGCTTCTCACTGCCTTACACACATCACAGACACTACAAATATTAGTTGGCACATCTTAAGGAACCCAGATCTAAGACAGACGCCCGTGACCGTGCTGATCACTGCATCTACTGTGGGATGCTCCCTGCAGGTCTCAGGCTTTTCCCTATGTCAGCGCAGTGATACTGGTTGTACAACCTTCTGCTAAACTGAGAGGAAATAAACAAACGTGTAAATCTGTTCAGTTGTTTAATGTGTTCGAACACCGAGGCTAAAACAGCAGCTAGTCAAAGAAGTTGTGGAATCCAGCCCACTGGGAAGCCAAGTTCTCTTTCTCCACAGTTCTTCCAGTGGGTTTCACTGCTCCATCCCTCCCATACAGGCTGAACCAGTGTCATGGGGTGCTCTCAAAAGTGAGTGTGAAGCTCTTGTGGTAACACAAGGTTCCTCAATTCAAATGGTTATTTTACACTCTTCTGAATCTTTTACTAATAAAAGCATCCAGAGTAACACATATTTGAAAATGTGTTTTCCCCTAAACAGGTACAGCATATGCTGCAACTGATGAAGCTGTTTTGCTGTTGTATCTCAGCCCTGATCTATTCTCAGAGATGCATCTGAAAAGGTTAGTTCCAGCTGTGTAGGAACTTCACCTCCCGCTCTCTGCATTTGGTTTCCATGCCTAAATTTTGACCCTGATCTCAGAAATCTAGATATTTTGTTTAACCTTCACCTTAGATTTATGCTAACGAGGCTGCAAGATTACATACATAAAAGCACCGCTACTTACGTACAGCAAGAATGCAGTTTTGCATGGTCTGGCAAATTATCTCTTACTCTTCTTGAGATTCTTTAAGGGAACATAAATAAAAGCTCAGTATATTTCATCTATGCCCCTGAAACACCAAATAATACTGGTACTGGTTGCCTGCAGAGGGTCAAGCCAGTAAATGCACACATACCTACTTTGGACCTGCACTGATTCGGGGAAAAAAAATCAAACTGAACTGTAGGCATTAAAAACTAATGGCATAAATTGGTTATTTAAAGCCAATATTGATTTGTTGCCAGACTCTGCATCTCAACAATTGCACTTGAGTGTCCATTTACTTTGCTCAGAAATAAATATTCCTCCCCAGCTGCGTGCGCTCTCTGTAAGGGAAGAATCAGTTTTCACCGCTGGCCAAGGGACGGGCTGTTATCTCAAGCCACGTGGTTCATTGATTTATCATGGTGGTGTAAGCACAGAAATGTAAAGGGATGCTGTCATGATCATTTATTTAAAAGGTTTTTTTGGAAGAAGAATGGTAGTGCTTTCCAGGTAAGAATGTGAGAGGTTCCCTGAGCATTTGAACGTATAGTTAGTTGAGGTGAATTATCTCCATTTCATTTTTCTGTCTGGCAGAGTTAATTTATTTGTACAAAAGTATTTAATGATGCAGAGAGATTGTTATTGGTGGTTTAATTATTGTTTTGATCAAAGCCTCTGTATGGCTGGTAGTACACTTAATAAGATAATCATACTTTTTCATCTGTTAATGAGTCTTTGGAGTATTCCCAGCGCAGATTTAAGTCTTCATCTTTTTCCCGCTCTTGGTTTAATTTCTGTGGGTTTTTTGGCTTGCATGATGAAACGAGGTGTGCAGCTCCACTGCTGTTTATAATCTGTCTTCCTCATCTGAGCAGGGCTGATCAGAATTTTCTAAAACTGAGAAACATTTATAATTTGGAGAAAAAAAATGGCTTTGCCCATAAATTGAAACAAAGAAACAGGATATTTGCTCTTAGGTAAATGGCAATATTGCTTTTGCATAATCTTGTGGCAGTCTGAGCTTTGCCAAAAGGAAGCATATTGCCTACCTTTCTTTCTCACTCACATATTTCAAAGAAATACATTTCCTCTACCTCCTTCCAAAAGCTAATTAGTATTACAGTCCAATGAAGGAAAATACTGATAATAGTCAGTATCCTGGACTTAATCTTAGCAAGGGAACACACTGACTTGAGTAAAGGGTACTTGCATATTTGCCGTTGATCATAACTACCTTGTAGGTATGTTGAATTGTATTAGAAACTGGGAAGTGCTTAGAAATGCTAAGAGGAGAACCATAAAAGAGCAAAGTTGGCATCACATAAATAGAGGTGCTTTGCTTCTCTGTAGAGACGACTATTCCAGTTGTTCCAGTGATGTGTGTTTCAAGTTGTCCCACACTCAGCTTTCCTCTACTTCGTGACTACTTGTTTTCACTCCATTTCATTTTTTTCTGGGTTTAGAGGTTCATATTGAAGCCAATATGTTTGTGCTCCAGTGGTGCAGATACCAAGGTGGCTACACTGCAGAAACCTATGGGCCATGAGGGATGCGGGGAGGCCACTGGCATCTGAATGCTGGTGCACACAGTCTGCCAGGTGAATTGGCCTGAGAGCTAGGAAATTCCTCCTCCTCCTCCTCTGGAATCTCTTGATGCCATGCAAGAACACCCTACGTTTACACCAACCCATCCTGGAGTACGACGCTTCCCTCTGTTTGCCTGTTGTGCTACTATCACTTGTTAGCTGGACATTTCATAGAAACTGGAGGAGTTACAAGCCTTGCAGAAGCCCAAAGTGAAAGCCATGCAGTGAAATCCCACCCAGTGTTTAAAGCCTGCAGTTAAAAATAAATCAAGAAAGCAAACTCAAGGAGTTAAAGAGAAATGCAATCCGACTGTAATATTAGATTCCAAAGCTATCCAAGAAGCCTGATCTGGTTATTTAAACCATTTTACCTTTTTGGAGATAAGACGAAGCAAATCTTTTCCACACCTTTATATTCTTCCAGCAAAAAGTCAGTGTTTTCTTAAGCATGCATGAGCTTTAGTTTCATGTGAAGAGGTTTCTTCTATCGTGAGAGCAGAACAGCCTTAACCATACCTTGTGATGCTGCTGGAGTGGTTCCACGCAGCTGCCTGAGGCCAGAGGCTCTCCTTGGTCAGTTTTTAATGCTTCACACCAGCTTACTTTACAGCGCACAGTTGTGCTGTGGTGTCCAAGAGCACCCATACACCTCTCACTGCAGTCCATAAGCATTTTGTAGGAGACCTCACCTCTCTTAGATGGTTGGCAGGGCTTCATAGAGGTTAAGCATGCAACAGTCCCTGTGTAGTGCTTGAGAGATGCATCCATCTCCTTACTGGTACATCTTAGGGAGCATCATTGGGAACTGCAGGAAATACAAAACAAATCCTACTGTTTGTCAGTATGCACTCCGTGTATGAAGCAAACAGCTAGAAGAGATCCCTTCTGCACAGGAGCTGCACGGTACGTTCTGCACCAGTGACATGCAGTAAGCATCACGTGCTTTGGGGCTTAGAACAACCTGCATTACAGAGTATGTTAGTCCAGATTTGCTTGCAGAGCTGGGTGATGGTTCTTTGTTCATTCCTTGTGAGGGCTTCTTCAGGAGTGCCTCACTGCCTTGTACCCAATAAGTGCTTCACTTCACCTCAGAAAGCTGCCAGCTTCCAGAGGCCAAAGGAGATCTGCTAACATTCTGGAACTTAGAAAGAAAGGACTGGAAGGAACTAGAATGGAGGAACAGGGCTTTCTGTAGCTTCTTGTCTTTTATCTGGTATTGCAGGCCTGCTGAGTTAGAAACAGTTTCCTATTCAGTATGCATGAGGAACTGGGGAAGGGGCATCAGCCACATCTGTCTGTGAGTATCTCGGGGGCACTGTGTGGTTCCTAAATCTTTCTTCCCCTAAAGCTCCCACTGTAGCTTAAGAGGTTCTCTCATTTCCACTGTGACATGTATAACGTATCCTACATCTGGAAAGTCTTCAATTATGCAAAAAAAGGGAAAAGGGGCAAGTATTCTAATGGCCAGCAAGGGAAATATAAGGACACCCTATCCCATGAGGAAGGTGTAGGGTGGTGTAAAGCTGCTCTATCTTATTAGGGGCAGCCTTAAACCATTATCAAAACTTCCAAAGATAGCTTCTGCTGGTAGGCTGGAGAGAGAAAGTATTTTTACATTCACCTTTGCAGAACAGCATTTAAGATATGTGCTCATGTGCTTTTATCTCCAGCTTTGTGCAGGGAGACTTAGAAAAGGAACAGGATTCCAGACCTGAAGTACTGGACTGTCTTCAGGCTCAGCTTGAGGATTGTGTCACGACATCTGTGACTTGTTTCCTTTACAGAAAGGGTTCAGCCTTCTGTCATTATTCAAGTTAAGTCTAAATAACCTAAACGAAGCACAAGGAGAAAAAAAAATGTATATGAAAAGTGAACAGCATCATGGAAGATTTCTTTTATGTACTTGTTTTCCTTAAAGTACTGAGAATGGATTTGTACTTTAAAAAAAAAAAAAAAAACAACAAAACAAACAACCCAGGTGAGGTGAAATGATATTAATATGGAGTGATTAAAATTGAGATTGTAGAAGTCAGATGAAATGAGAAAGAAGCAGAAATGCAGATGAAAAAAGCGGCTACATGTAAAAGAGCATGCCTGGAAATGGAACTGGAAAGAAGGCAGACAGATATCTCAAGCTGCAGGGACCCATTCAGAGATGCATCCAGCTGCATGTGACCTGAAACCTGTTGTGCCAAGTCTGGACTTCAGCAGCAGGCAAGAGCAAACCCCTTGGACCTCAGCTGCTGCTTCCTTTCATCTTGCCCACGGCAGGGGGGTTGAAACTAGATATCTTTGAGGTCCTTTTCCACCCAGGCCATTCTATGATTCCATTCTATGATCTTATGGCTCAGCTTGATCAGTCACATCTGCATGCTGATGGAATGCCTTGGAAAGAAAGCTGACGTGCCAATGCCTGGCACCTGCTGCATGCTCTGGAGCACTTTTTGCGAGGCCATGGCTGGAAGTGGGTGCACCGAGTTGCACTCATGCTGTGTGCAGTCAGTGTGCTGCTGCAGCTGCAGAGGGGAGGTCTGAACAGCTCATCCTGTGCATCTGTGTTAAGGTTGGGGATGGACAGAATGCCTGTCACAGGGCTGCCAGCTGAGCAACTCGCCAACCTTAAACCTGACGTCATTTGCAGACTCTGTACAGCCTGAAATAGGGAGAGAGAAGCAGAAGTCCAGGGATGTCACAGGGGGTGCCATTTTCTTCTGGCATAGAGAGTGTCTGATGCATTGACCTCAGAAACTCCAACGACAGCCACCTCATTTCAGCAAATGCATCTGGTTGCTGTCCCCAGAGCTGTGTGTGCTGCCCATGGGAACATGGAGGGCACTGAGTATCAGCAAGTCTTCGTTGGCTTTTGTTCTCTAGCACTGTAGAATTCTGTGTATTTTGGAATGAGACACGCAGTTCTAAGCCAGTAGCTGAAGAGATTCAGCAGCATTTGCAGAAATCCTACAAAGTAAGTTGACAGCCCTGAGCTGAGCTCCTGGTGTGGCTGTGGCAGCCTGGCTCTGTCAGGTCCCTCCGGGCAACCTAAGCTCTCACTGTGCCCCTGTGCTTGGTTTCATAGAATCATAGACTTGTTTGAGTTGGAAGGGACCTTTAAAGGCCATCTGACCCAACTCCCCTGCAATGAACAAGGACACCCACAGCTCCATCAGGTGATCAGAGCCACGTCCAGCCTGACTCTGAATGACTCCAAGGATGGGGTGTCCGCCACCTCTCTGGGCAACCTGTGCCAGTGCCTCACCGCCCTTATGGTAAAAAAATTCCTAATATTCAGTCTAATTCTTCCCTTTTAGTTTGAAACCATTTCTCCTTGCTTTGTCACCACAGACCCTGTTGAAGAGTCTGTCCCCTTCTTTCTTACAACCCCTTTGGATACCTACAGGCCGCTCTCAGCTCTCCCCGCAGCCTTTTCTTCTCCATGCTGCACAGCCCCAGCTCTCAGCCTGTCCCCACAAGGAGGTGTTCCATTCCATCGGTCATTTTTGTGACCCTCCTCTGGATGCAATCCAACAGGTCCGTATCTCTCCTGTACTAAGGATGCAGTACTCCAGGCGAGGGCTCACCAGCGGAGGAGCGGAGGGGCAGGACCCCTCCCTCGCCCTGCTGGCCGCGCCGTTTTTGCTGCAGCCCAGGATAGCGGTTTCCTTCACAAATACCCACTTCTGTCCCATTTCCTTAACATAAGGGAGCGACGGAGATCCCGGGACCCCCATCCCGCACGGCGAGACCCCCCTCCAGCTGACGGCCCGTGCCCGGAGGCTTTGTGCGGAGCGCTGCGAGAGCCGCGGGATGCTGCGGGCATCGCTGCGCCCACGGACCGCGTTCCTCCCAGGGGCGAGCGGAGCTTTGCTCGCCCCCGGGAAGGACGCGCTGAGATGTCGGTGCTCTCTGCAGCCGCGCGGCTTCCGTTAGCGGCTGGAGCAGGTGAACGGGTGGGCAGCCGGGCCGCGACGGGGGAAAGGCGGCGGGTTCGGGAGAGACCCGGAGCGCCCGAAAAGCCGCGAGGGGAGGGGAGAGGAGGGCGGGGGGGGGGGGGGGGGGGAGAGGCAGCGGCGGGCGCATGCGCTCTGCCGGGCCGTGCCATATTGGAATGAGGCGGCGAGCGGAGCGCTGGGGAGCCGGAGCCCCGGGAACGGCGGAGGGCTGGAAAAACTCTCCGCAGGTGAGGCGAGGGGCGGCGGCGTCCGCCGGTGGGCAGACCGGGTCGGCCCGCAGCTGGTGGGGACGTTTTGCCGGCGGAGCGCGGGGCCCACAGGGTTTTTCCGGGCTCCCGAAGTTTGGATGCGGGGAAAAAAGGCGGCGAGGGAGGAGGAGGAGGGAGGAGAAGGAGAAGGAAAAGGGAGGAGGAGGCGGCAGGAGGCAGGCGCGGCGGGGAGACGGCAGTGCGGGGGGAGCAGCGCCCCTTCGGTCGCGTCGCGGAGCGATGCGCGGGGCTGCCCGGCGCGCAACTCGGCGCGCTCCCGCTAGGAGCCCCGTCCCGCGGCACGCCCGGCCCCGACTTGCGCTCCCCGCGCCCGCCCCGCCCGAACGGCCTCGCGGGAACTTTGTGCGCCCCGCGTCTTTGCCGCTCCTCGCCCCGCGCCCGCGGGGGGCCCGAGCCCACCGAGCGCCTCGCGCTCGCCCCTCTCCCCTTCAAAATGGCGGTGGAGGGGGACCTTTAAACGCCGCTCCGCGCTTCTCCGCACCCCCACCCGGCCCGGCCGTGCCCCGGCGCGCGTCCCGCCCGGCGGCCGTCGGCGGGCAGAGCGGCGCGGCCGTTCCCGAGGCCGCTTCCCGCAGCGCCGCCGCGGGGCCTGCGCGTCCGCGTCGTGTGCGCGCCCGGCGCTGCGCTCCGCTCCATTCCGCTCCTCGCGGCTCCGGCCTTTGTCCTGCGGAGCCGCTGCCGGGCCGGGCCGGGTCCCGGGGATGCGCGGCGGGGCGCGGGGCGGGGCGGGGGGCGCGGCCGGGCGGTGCCGCGCGAGTTCCCGAACTTGGGACCGCGGCTCCGCCGTGAGCGGTAGGAATAGCGAGAGCAGCGGGAGGCGGCGCGCGGCCGTGCGGCTGCGGTCCCGCGCGATCCCGCCCGGCCCCGTTCGTTCGGCTGAGGGCCGGCGCTGCCGCTTCGAGCGCGTTACGCCCGCGGAAACTTGTTGCCGCCGTAGCGGGGCCTCACGCGGCCTCTCTGTGCGGGACGCTCCGGCCGCCTGGCTTTAGGGCGGCGCGGGGCTGCGGCACCTGTCCCGGGACCCGCCGCGCCGCGAGGAGCGCTGTGCGGGACGGCGCTCGGACGGACCGTCGCGGCGGTATCGGGGCCGGGCGGGACGCGGTCCGTCCCCGCGCGCCGGCTGGGGCCGGTGGTTTGGAGCAGCCCGTCCCGGGGCCGGGGAAACCGATGCGGAGATGAGAACGTACCAATTGTCGGCGAAGTGTGCTGTTCCTGCGTGGCCGTTGTTGCTGCCGTAGGGTTTGCAGATTAAAAAAAAAAAAAAGAACGAGCGAGCATCCATCCGTCTGAGAGATTGGCTGCAGGAGGAGAGCTCAGGGGCTTCCTGCCCTCGCTCAGCCATTTCCTCTTTTACTTTTGGTTTGCGAATCGGTGCTGTGATTGAAAGGTGAGAAGATCTGGTTCTTCCCGGAGCTGCCGGCTTCCAGGCACGGCAAGATTCCCGCTGCCCTTCTGACCCGCTGGGGGCTGTGCTCTGCGATCCCCATCTCTGAGCTGTGTGCTGGCACTGTGTGTGCTGAGCCCTGGGTGCCGGGGCACTGTGTGTGCACATATAGCAGGCGGGCACTGCACTGATCCATGCCGTTCTTCCTCCGCGGCTTTTTCGCCCTCTGCTCTTAATTTACCACTGCTGAAGGAAGAGAGTACCGCAGAAGCACGTTTGGTAACGCGTTGTATCGCCTGCCTGGTTATGTTGTCCTGAGGCAGCTTTGATCGCAGCGTTTGCCGTGTGTGCTGCTTGGTGCTGCCCGGCTGAAGGCACTGCCCTCAGGTGGTGCTGTGCAGGCACCGGGGCTCAATGACACCGTGCTGTGACAGCCTGCTGAGTGAGGAGAGCTGGGAGGTGTTTGGTGAGGGGTGTTCTGGTAGGGGATAATATTGCAGAAGAAAGTTGCATTTGTGTAACGGTGTTTTTCATTTAATTATGCGCTTTGACTGACTTGAATCCCTCGTTTTTTCCAGCGCTCAGTTTTCTCTATGTTGATAAACCCTATGAAGGAAGCAGGACTTTAGCTATTGTTTATTTGATTTTAAATTGTTTTTGGTTCCAAGAGTGTGTTTTATTTATATCTATCTATCTATGTATATATTTATATATATATAAATATATATATATATAGGCAGACATACTCTCACGTGTTGGTTGTTTTTATTTTTTGTCCTAATGTTTGGTTCCAGATGTGCCCCTATGAAGTAGTGAACTATGAAGTAGCGAGCTGTTCTGGTGGTGCATTACTGTGAGTGATGAGATGTGCCCAGCGCAGTCCTTTGGGCTACCAGAGCCCTGCCACTGCCTGCAAGCCTGCAGCATCACAGGCCGTGCTGTTTTGTTCTGGGATCAGCTCTTCTCATTGCTCTGCAAAGCATTGCCTTGAGTGCAACTGATGCCCTCAGAAATAAGGGAAGCACAGGTTCATTGGAAGTGTTACGTACCTTTAGTTAGTGCTGTTTACCCAGCTGGACTCATTAACTCCTTTTAAACCAAGGCAGCAGTGAGTACAGACGTGAAAGCTCTCCCTGCTTCCAGGGCACTTTTCCTCCTGTACTTGCAGAACAGAACTGAGCCATGTGAGCGGCTGGGCTGTTTGGTCCAGCAGCTGATAACTGAAGTCTGTTTTCTAAGGTGGTTGTTACATCTTAAATTATGTATCTGTTAAACTTAAAAATATCTTATCTTAAAAATAGGTTTGAAGGATCAGAGGGAGAATTCTGAGTTCTCATTGCTCTTTTGGCCAAATATTGCTCTTTGTTTGAATGTGCTCTCATGCAAACTGAAGAGTGTATTTTGTCACTCCTCTTAATGAAAACCAGTGTTTTTGGGGAAGCAGCTTGGCTAAGTGCTTGAGTTCAGCATCACCATTGATAGCAAGCCAGTTCTAGATAATTCCAGCCTAAGCACCAGTGTGGAGGGATGATGTGCAACAGTTGGCTGGTTTGGTTTCATTTTCTCAACCAGCTCGGCTTCTTTCAGTAGGAGACAGTGGTGGAAACTGAAAAACCAGGGTAGATTGCCTTTTGTTCTTCCAGTCCGGGTACAAAACTGAGACAGGAATGTAATATCTGGGAGGACGAGGTGATGAGAACAACAATCAGCTCTCCTCACTGAAGTTAATGTTCCTTGGTTTAACTCTTTATGCATCTTAAATTGAAATGTTGTCTTTGCACCTGCTTTTCTGAGATACGAATGTTACTTAGCTAGGTAAAATGAAAGTGCAGTTTTTATTACTAATTGGAGTCCAATTTCCATTTAAGTGCAGCTTGATGTAAATTATAACTCTTAGGATTATCCAGTGAGAAATACAGAATTACCTTTTTATAGGAAAGCTGAGATTTTTATTTAAGTGTTCAGACAATCTATTGCCTTTCTGCCTTATTTCCAAACAGTGGTTGAATCGTACTGGGAACTGTTTTTAGCCTATTGAGAACTGGCAGTATTTCACAGGCTAATAGGCTTTTGTTTAAAGTAATTAATATAAATGCCATTCCTTTGTGTTCTTACATAGATAGCAGCACCAAGATATGCTTTGTCAGTCTTGATCATGCTGATATGCAAATGTGAGTGATATGTAACATAACAAAGCAGTGTAACAACTGCTTCTCAGCTGCTGTGGGCTCCTTCCTAGCAGAGCAGCAGTGCTGGTGCTTCTGGTCGGTGTCCTTGCGCAGTGTTGCAGAGCACGCAGCGGCCAGCCCAGCGCTGTGTGTTGGACTCTGGAGGCCAATCCATGCTTTGTTTTCTGCTCTAAAGGGAGGAGTGTGTTTTATCACAACACAAAAACTTCCAACAAGCCACATGGCAGAATCCACTTTAATCTATTACAATTAACCCTTTTCAGTTCCTACAAGAATAGAGGTACTTGAAAGAGAAACGCCAGCATGGCCACTGCTGGGGGTGGCTGGGAGCTCTCTGCTGCAGGAGGAAGTGGCTGCACCTCAGGCTGAAGCTACAGCTAACCCTTCTGTATTCTTACTGTACCAGTTAGGATTTTACATGTCTCCTACCCGTCCTCAGCTCCGCTGTCCGAGCCCATCACTGCCTTTGATTGCATCTCCTGCTCTTGTAGCCAGCACTGCCTGCTGTGTCAGGGTGCAGGTGTGCTTTGGGTTGATAGAATTGTAACACCTTTTCTGTTTTCTTCTCCATTCTTTGGGGTGAGCACAGAGCTGATGCTCAGAGAGAATTAGTCATAACAATTTCAAAATCTTCAGTTGCAGCAGCTGATTTAGGTCTTATTGTAGGCAAGGTCATTTCTTTCTCCATGTCTTATTACTCTGCCTTTAATTTATCCTCTTATTATCCTTCCATGGTTCTTAGCAACCAACATCAATTTTTCACTTCTTACACAGTTCTGTGTAGTGTTAAAATTTTGTGTTTCTTTCACATTTCTGCACTTGTCTGGATTACTGGAAAAGCAGGACTAGGTACAAGCTCGTTAGTCCTTGTATTAATATTGTGAAAAATGAGTTGTCTTCCTGACATCATCACCTATCTTTATAACTGGCCATCAGGATAGGAGATGACCTTCCAGAGAATGCTCCGAAATGCTTCAGGTCTGTGTAGATAATAACAGAAGGACAGTGGTGTGTCTTTGCACCCCAAGCATGGGCAGGTTTGCTTTCCTCAGCAGTTGTGCGTGCAGTGAGGGTGCCGCAGTCGTGCTGGGTTGTCTCCTTGCTGCTTGGAGCAGGCACTTCTGTTCTGCCAGGCAGCACAAGGAGCAGGGGCTCCCCGGGTATATACCAGAAATGCTGCTACCATTTGCTATGTATAATAGCTATACTGTTTGCTATTTCCATTCTGATTTTGAGCACCTCTGCACCTGAGGTGCCTGTTAAAGTTGGTTTTGGCCTTACTGGGTTGTGTCATATCCTGATGAAAACTGTTACTGTTTTCTTCTGTTACATATCCTGAAAACTGTTACTTCTCCCATTCTCCCAGTCCTTGGGTGAAGTGTTTGTGCTTAGGTCTGCTCTGCTGATGTTGGCATTGAGTTTAACACTGATACTGTCTCCATTGAGAAAACACCATGCAGAATTTCTCAGGTTGTAAGATTTTAAAAATGCTGTTATAGAGCTGTGTGTGCCAGGCTCCCAGCCATGCAGCAGTGCGGGTGCATCACCCATACAAATGCCCTGACCATTTTCCCAGGGCCCCTTTCACAAGCCCATTTCTTCCCTCGGCAGCTTTCTGTTCATTTTGTGCCTCTCTGCTGTGCTGCCTCCAACCCCTGTGCAGAGGAACATGCTTATGTCTCCAGTCAGAAGGCCATTTCCATCAGTGTGAGAGCTAACGTGGTGCCCTGTAACAGTTTGGGTTTTGACACTGCAGAGGTGCAGAGCTCAGCTTGGGAATGCTGTGAGGCAGTGTTTTTTCCTAGGCCAGGCTCAGCCCATAGGTGTGAGGTGCTGTAATTTCCACCCAGCACCACACTTTCCCCTGGATGTTTTGCTAGCAATTGAATATCCATACAGAGCAAATAGAGGGAGATCTGGGGTGTCACCAGAAGTGTCTGGTTTTCTGTCCATCACACAACGACAGTTTGGGCAAGGATGCTGAGGTCTTATGGCTTTGACGTAATTATGGAGCAGTGAATTACCCAGTGCTGTAGAATTACCCCATGTCCCAGTGTGGTGGGGCCCTTGGTGCATGGTGAGGTGAGGGCCCCCGCCTGTGGAGCCCATTGAGGAGATGGACTGAATGAGGTTCAACAAGGTCAAATGCGAGGTGCTGCGCCTCGGTTGGAACAAGCCCAGATATGTGTACAGAATGGGAGAACAACTCTTCAGCAGCAGCACTGTGAAGAAGGTCTTGTGGGTCCTGATGGGTGAAAAGCGGGGCGTGAGCCAACAGTGTGCTCTTGCTGCCCAGAAGACCAACTGCATCCTGAGCTGCATTAACAGGGAAGGGATTGTCCCCTCTGCTCTGCCCTTGTGAGGCATCACCTGCTGTGCTGCATCTGGGCCTGGGGGCCCCAGCACAAGAGAGACATGGAACTGATGGAGCTGGGCCAGAGGATGGCCACCAGGATGCTCAGAGGACTGGAGCACCTCTCCTATGTAGACAGGATTAGGAAAATTGGGGTGTTCAGCATGGAGAAGGCTCCGAGGAGGCCTTGCTGCAACCTTTCAGTACTTGAGGAAAGTTAATAAACAGGAGGGAGAATGACTTCCTACAACAATAGGAAAAGGGGGAATGTTTTTAAATTGAAAGAGGGAAGTCTCAGGTCAGATATTAGGAAGGAATTCTTTATTCAGAAGATGGTGATGCCCTGGCACAGCTGCCCAAAGCTGTGGGTGCCCATC